TTGGCCATAAAGGAGCAGAGATGCCTATGGGGGGGACCAGAATCCATCTCCGGATTGGAGATGTCAGCAGTGGTAGAGCTTTGGCTTGGGAGCCACATCTGGTCTGGTTCAATGGACCCATGTCCAGTCGTCCAAATAAAGGCCTTACCAGCTTTCACAGCCTGAGTTTTCCACTCCAGCTCACATCTAATTCCCTCGGCTGCATTTTAACTGCTTCCCTGTTCTTTGGTCCTCAGATACCACAGTTCTCGCGGTGTCCCGCTACCAAGGAACTGGAGCACTGTGTTCCTTGGGCTCTGTCCCTGCCAGCTCCCGAGGCCAGTGCTTCCCTACTTGCTCCATTTATTGGTGGTTACTGTCCAAAGGAATGTCCTGTGTACTGGCCACCATCCTACCCATCCCGGTGGCAGAGGAGAATAGGATAGGCAGATCTGCTCAGTACCAGAGAGGGCTCTGGCCTCACTGGGCTCTGGATGACCAACACAACCCTGGAAGTCCTGGGAGGTTTACCAGGTGGCATTAGCTTGCTTAACTATTTCCCCCTTCTCACAGGGTGATGAAATAAAGACCACCCCACTCCAGCCCTATGGCTCTGGATTCACAGAAGTGTCCAGGAGGGGAGAAGGATGCTGCTCAATGGCAGACATCCGAGAGCCACAGAGGCAGAGTGGATATGGGGGGCGGGGTACAGGAGGCACAGTTGCTGACCATAAAGACTTCAGTGCCTGGAGAGAGGTTCTGAGCACTCCCCCACACCTTCTTCCTGCTGAAGTTGGGGTGAAACAGCGAGGCACTGATAGCAGAGGGGCCCCAGGGCATGCTCAGCTGGGTCCAGGGTTCCTATGCCAGCCTCAGCACTTCACTGGAACCTGCTGGGCAAAGCTTTGGAGAACCTTGATCTCTGCAAATATGTCCTTCCCCCAGGTAAGAATGAATGAGGCTAATACATTCTCTTTTAATGTGACAGTACTCTGCAAAGTGTAACATAATGCAGATGTGAGAAGCCGTCATCACCAAAATGAGTCATTGTCATTTTCGTCATCATCATCATCATCATCATCATCCCCACCACCATCCCCATCACCAGCAGCAGCGGCAGCAGCAGCATTATCACCATCATCAAATACGTAGTTACCGCCAAGGTGCTTACTATGTAAGGACTATGGCTCTTGTGCATCAGCAGCCTGGCAACTCTATGGGGCAGGTCCTGTTTACTTTACGGAAACAGAATTTCAGGCTGAGAGCAGCAAGTGGTAGGGGCTGGGTTTGAAGTCTTCCTGGTCTCTGACTTTGGCTCCAACGCTGTACATTTCCAACATGCAGTGTGTAGAACACACACACACACACACACACACACACACACACACACACCGCCACCGTGACAGATAGATGGCCTTACCTAGTCTTCGTGCCAGCCCGAAGTCAATGAGCTTGATCCTGGTGCCGGTCTTGTTGACACACATGATGTTCTCGGGCTTGAGGTCCAGATGCACAATGCCCTGCTTGTGGATGTACTCCACCCCTTCCGAAATCTGCTTCATGTACTTGATGCACTCTCGCTCTGTCAGCTCGAAGTCCTCGTCGATGATGCGCTCAAACAGCTCACCGCCTGATACGCTGTGGGGACAGGAGGAGGCAGGAGAGATGCTGCGGTCATGTCATAGGATTCTAGGGACCAGAATGGCAGGGTATCCTGCCAAGGTAGACTAGGGTGTCTGTGTGTGCACATGCTTGTGTACATGCCAAGTTTCTGCAGCTTTCCAAGCCCCATTCATTCTTCTACACATATACCTGCTAGGCTAGGCTACTGGAGGGCTCAGGGAAGCATCGGAATCTGGGAAGCCGTCAGGCCAAGCATGAACTGAGAAATAAGGACAAGATTCCCTTATTTAGAAGGCTGATCCCTAGCAGTCTTTTTCTCTCATAGACCCAAGCGATGCCTTCTAGGTACAGGGAACTAACATTTCAAATATTCACTTTTTTTTACAGAATATAAGAATGTATGTGCATAGCTAGGAACAGAAAACGATCTTTGATAATGAGAAACCTCAGCAAATTTTCTGGAATTAGTTGGATGTAGCCTATTCCAGTAGTAGCTGTAATAGATCTGAGAGTTTGCCCCCTCCCACTGTAGCTAACTTGTGGCTTCTACCTGGTAGACTTTCTGTCCCGGGCATGTGTAATCCACTCTACTTCCAGAACCCACATCTGGGCATCCACTGCCAACTTCAGGTGGCCAGCATGTGGCCCCCTGCGAATGCACAGCCCTGATGTCCAGGTGTACAGTCTTCTCTGAACCCCCAGCGCAGACCTTGAAGCCCACTTTCCCTGCTCACTGCTCAGAGAGTTTAAAGCCGACCCATGGTAACCTATGGTTACCTATCGTAACATCCAGGTTTCAGGAAACTCAGTTTTCAACAGTGGCCTGTTGGTCCACTTCTGCTACTGTAAGTACAAGAGGTGGTACTTCTCCTAAAAGGAGTCATCATGAATGCACAGTGACAGGTGTGGATCCAATCTCGGAGTTTTACAAGCTGACTCTGGGCCAGGTAGTTCCTTGTCACTGACCCTTGCAGGAGAGACAGACAGCAGACAGCAGAGCCTGTATACCTCCATCATCCTATGATCCTCTGGAAGAGCTGAGTCGGGGAAAGGTCAGTGAGTATTCCTGGCCACTAGAAGGAGCTAGAGGAGACGCTTTAGAACTACCCAGAGGAGAAAGACCCTTCATAGCCAGCAGGTGGCGCCTCTTGTCCTGAAGCCTTCTTTTCTACTGATATCCAGGAAGGCTCGAAGATAGTGTTTTTGAACCTGTGGGCGGCAAGCCCTTTGGGGGTCAAACGACCTTTCATAGGGGTCACATATCAGATATCCTGAGTACCAGATATTTGCATTATGATTCACAACAGTAGCAGAATTATAGTTATGAAGTAGCAACGAAATAATTTTATGGTTGGGGGTCACCACAACATGAGGAACTGTATTAAAGGGTCACAGCGTTAGGAAGGTTGAGAATCACTGCTCTAAGATAAACTCTATTGTTAGGCCACAGTCTCAATTTCTTTATCTGTAAGATATAGAGAAAGACATCACCACCTCACAGGTTTGCTCCAAAAAATGGACTGAGTTAACACCATAGGCAAAGTCCTGGATCTTGCTCTGTAGACCAGGCTGGCCTTGAACTCACAGAGATTCGCCTGGCTCTGCCTCCTGGGTGCTGGGATTAAAGGCGTGTGCACCACTGCTGCCCAGCTCTAATATATTTTAAAATCATTTCTTCAGTCACTTCCTGGTATGGAAGGAGTTAAACATCAAGTTTCATAGTTCTGTAGGTTTCTCTTCAAAATGGTCAAGACTAGGAGAAGATATTGGTTTGCTAAAAGGCTGCTACCCACAGACATGGGCCAGGATGGGGCCAGATGAAATGTGTTCTTAATAAACTGATAGTGAGTGAATAAATGAATGGATACTTATTATCACCAACACTACCCATCCCAGGGAACCAAACTTATCTCCAGAGCTCTAGGTCCGGGCAAGCCTTCCCTGGCAGTCAGAGAAGACAATGCTATTCAGGGACTTGGTACCCAGTCTCTACTCCCTGTCTCTTGGCCGCCAGCTGGATGCTCTTTTATAAACTTTACTAACAGCAGAACAAAGATGACATCAGCCCCCAGGGACCCAGCTGAAACTTCATGTCCTCTTCAGGGCTCAGAGTCCCACCACCACTTGGCCAGTCCCAAGCACTTCCGACACGGCAAGCCCAGGCCCAGGCCAGCGGCCGGGAGGATCCTTAGTTTTCTACAACTGGGGCTTGTCCAGAAACAAAGTCAGATGGGCTGTAGACCTGCTCTTCCTTATTTCCCGAGTATCTGAGGCAGGGACTCTGGAATATATTTAATTTCTCTCAGTTTCTCCATCAAACAAGAACATAAAATCCCCTGTAGGCTGTCAACCTTTTCCCCTGTGTGTGGCCATGCGTCGGACTAGGTTAGAGGGGTGAACAGGGTGGGTGGGGATGAGCCCTGGTTGAGTTCCTATCAAAGGGCCAGCCCCTAACCCTCAATAGAGGCTACTCTGGCATCTGTGCCTGTGAGACTCGCTCTGTCCGTGGGGGAGGAGCGGGGTGCGGGGATGAAAGCCAGACCAGCTGAACCCTCCTTACATTGCTCTGCTTTTTCCACCCAGCTTGCCAAGTCCCAATTCCAAGCTAAGTATGGTATTCTGCCCACTGGTGCCGCTGCTTGGCCTTACCCAGGCTCGCCTGCCTCCTGCCCCCCTCACAAACTTGCTCAAGGTTTAACTTCTAAAGATAAAGCATTTCTCCACGTCTTCACATACCCACACTGCTTGGACCAAGCAAGCCCGTTCTAGAACAAATGTGAAATCTCAGCCCACAAAGAGATTGAAAGCTGTGACAGGGTCACAGACGGGGACTCAACATTCCTAAAAGGGGGTGGCGGCAAAGTTGACCGTAAGATACTAATGAAAATGTTCTCTGAGTCTTTTATGATTCCACAGAAAGCAGAATTTCAAAGCCAAATGGGGAGCCTTGAGATTATTTAATCTAAATACCTTTTGGCTGGTAGTACCAACAATTAAAAAAAAAATCACATTTCAATAGTAACAGAGCTTGAAGGCAGGCTTCCTGAGCATTAGAAAGAAGTATTAGATGTTCCACAGCATCTGCTTGAATGTTAAAAACGCTCTCAGGTTACTTTTAAGTGGAATATAGACCAGAATACTGAAAAAGCCAACTTCTCTTTCTTCTAATAGCTGCCTATGGCCAAGCGCCGAGCCTCACTCACAAGCTCTACTAATCCCACAGCATTCATGAGGGAGCAACAGGTTCTACAAACCATAACACTAAGGATGGGCAGAGCTAAGTAACTTAACCAAGGTCAAATCATGAGAGGGGGCTGGGATCTGAGTGAGGGTTATCCGATGCAGGTCTGCACTATTAACTTTTTTTTTTTCTTTTTTTTTTTTTTTTCTGTCCTAAGAGCACTTTTTGAGAGGAGCATGCCGAATGTCACTGTGATGTGGGGAGAAAAGAAGCTCATCCCATTCCCAGGCCCGGTCCTTCCCGGGAAAGAATGCCTGCCAGAGTGGACAGCTCATCTTCCCAAAGATCTGATCCTAAAGTTCAGGGTGCTTAGTGCAATTCTAAGACACCCTGAAAACTCTCGAGTGACCACGCCCTTTCACCTGCACAGCTTCACTTCTGGGATGCAAGCTATGGGTATGCATAGGTGTCAGGGAAAACACATGTGTGCAAGCAATGTCTGCAAAAGCAAACAAAGTCAGGAAGCCTCAAAAGCACTTGGCTCAAACGCACGCACGCACACACTGTGATGTGGCGTGTGTGTACTGTGAGGTCCCTCAGAGCTGGGAGGACACAGGGCTTGCTATGGTAGTGGTTTACTGAAAACAGTGAGTTCAAGTCACACCTTGTGATAAAAGGCAGGACGGTAAAAATGCACATGTTAGATTATGTTTGCACTTTCATAAAGAACTTTGGAAGAACACAACAAAACCCAATAAAACTGTTTACCTCCGGTGGTGTAGAAACAAGGAAGGTGAGTGAACAGATGGGAAGAAGACTCCATTGTGTATTCCCTTACATTTTTAATGTGATGAAAGAAATACGGTTCAGCAAAGGAAACCCATGATTTAAAATGCAGGTGCCTGTGAAGGGCACCTGGCTTAACGATGTGTGTGTGTGCATATGAGGGAGGTAGAGTCTGGGGTATAGAGGAGACGAGGGATTCTGGGAAAGCCTTGCCTGCAGGTCATCTGATCCACCCCCAGCAGAGAAAACTAGTTCAGCTAGGGAGGGACGGGTGTCGGTAAGAAGCAGTAAAGGGCTGGAGAGAGGACTCCACTCCAGAATTCTGAGCTCCCAAATCTGGGGTCCCTTCTCTTCTGCAAGGAAGGCAGGAGGCTCCCCTGTTGCTTCCTTTCCTACCCGACGCTACCTTCAGGTGAGAATGCCCCGGTAGAAGCAAGGAACCTGTGAGAGCCGAGCTCTATCCCAAGGAGACGAAGAGGAAAAGGTTACAGTGGTCCCCAGGCTGTTGGCAGGCTGCTGCTGCTCAGTGAGTCGAGGCCAGTTCTGGTTCCCACGGGTCAGCCCTGGTCATGGTGCTGGTGAGTATCTTGCCCATCATACCGTGTTGTGTGGTGGAGGTGGCTGGGTTGGGACAGCAGGTGGGGGTGTGGGGGGATGGGGTGGGGGGAGGGGGGCTCTCAGGCTACAGTGCCACTCACATCTCCAGGACCATGACGATGTTGGCCTTTTCTTCGAAGGCATCCACACACTGGACCAGCTTGGGGTGGTGGAGGCAGTTCATGATGCTGATCTCCTGGCGGATGTTCTCTTTCTCCTTGGCGGAATAGGCCTTGAAGAACTTCCCTGCCCAGATTTTTCTGGTTTTCTTTTCCACAAGTCGGAAGACTTGTCCAAACTTCCCACTGTCAGTGAGAGAGAAGAGAAAAGCCAGGCTGAGCTGAGTTCTCTATAAAGCTGGGGGTGGCAAACTACAGCCATGAGGCAGATCTGGCCTCTTCTTTTTATAGTAGAGGCTTGCTGGAACACAACCACACACCTGCTCACTTACGTATTGTCCACGGCTATATAGCTGAGTAGTCGTGACCCAGGTATGTGGCTCACAGAGCTAAAATACTCTTGACCAATGAAGAACATCCTACTTAACCTTAAGGGTAGACTTCTTCCCTTCCCTGGGAGGGACCCCTGGAGACGGGCTGAGGTCTTCCTTTCCAAATACAGAACTACTGAATGGCTGCTCTTCTCCCATTCCATTCCAGCACAGATGCCCTGGCAGTGGAGGATGGAGTGGCTTCCCCCACCGGGAGCAGGGAGCTCTTCTTATTCCAACAGGATGACTTCCTCTCCAGAGCTGATAAGAGGCCTACATTGTGCCCTCGGTTCCCCTAAACCACCAGAAATAAAAGCTGAGCCATATTGTCTTTTTTTTCCTTAAAAAAAAATATATATATAGCCCAGAGTATCCTCAAACTCACTACGTCCCTAATGACGACCTTGACTTGGAACGTCTCATCCTCCTGTCTTCACTTCCTGAGCGCTGGGATGTGCACCATCACATCTGGTTTATGTGGTGCTGGCGGTGGAATCCAGTTCCTTGTGCCTATTAGGCAAACACTCTACCAATTCAGCTACATGCCCCCCCCCACTGCCCCCCACCATTCACTTTCTTCTGCTTCCCCAGAGACTGAGAGCTGGGGAGAGATGCATAGCTTGTTGGTGTCTGGGCACTGGTGTCCTTTATGTCCTAGGGACGGAGGAGCAGTCCATGGCAGTGCAGGGCAAGTTCTTTTAGGAACTGTGAGGCTCCCTGGGCATGCTCGTTCAACCCCAAAGCTGGCAGTAGAGAAGGTGCTCGCCAGGCCCGGCTACTTCAGACCCAGTGCAAGGGAGGCTAAAGAGGAACGGATTCAGATCTGGTCCCTCTGCTTGAGTGCTGTGCTGGGAGCAGAGGCACAGAAAGCCCGGCCCACGGCTCCTACAGAGCTGAGACTGTACAGAACCTCAGGAGCAGCTCCAGAGAAGGCCCCCGGTGAGGGGTGTGTTTGTGGGTCATTCCCTCCCAGTCTGTAGGCTCTCGGCTTGGGAGGAAGCCGTGTTTAGGACAGCACAGGAAGGGGCCTCTGGAGTGAGCTGTGGGTCCTGCTCCGCCCTCACCCTGGGGCCCCAGAGGCCGTTTGGAACTCCACTTACGATCCCAGTCGCTCTTCAATGTCATACACATCAGAGACTTTCTGTTCAGTGTTAACCGTCACTGTCCGATAATCGACCTCGGGTTCCTTTTCGTCTGCAGGGCACAGGTCAGGGTGAGCGTGAGCCATCGGGTTCCCCCTTCTCAGCCCCTCCATCCCAAGAGCCTGTCCCCGAAGGCAGTTGGCCTCACTCACCATCATCTGACACTTCCACTTCATCCTTTGGCTCTGGGGGAGACAAGGGGGGACAGAGAGGGCATGGTGATCAGTACTGAAGGCCGTCTAGAGCAAGGCATGCTGCGGCTTCTCCCGGTGCCAGCACACCTGGATCACATGAGCATCCCCTGAAGTGGGCCAGTCCTGACTGCAAGAAGAGCCAGATGCAGACTGGCGAGCTATGGCCTCCCCCTTCCAGCCTCACTCCTCCACCATGGCTAACCATCATCCCCTCCTCTCACCCAGGGACCCCCAGACATCTCCCCTTCCACATGCCTTCTAGTCCTTTTGGTATTTCAGAGCCTACACACAACTGCGACGGTCCCATTTTCCCGTGGCTTGAAAGCGAGCAGCCTATAACTACTTTCATTGTTAAATCTGTTTATACATTTGTCGAACATTTGTTATTGAATTCTAGCAGTATAGCAAGCATCTTGCCAGTCATGTGGGCACATACCATAACACACACACACACAAGGCATAGTCTCCCCTCCCTTCCCGAAGCTTATCATTTACTTGTGTAGGCAAAAACCACAGAAACCCGAAGTAAGCATCGATTGCCCAGGTCATGTAAGGATGCATATACCACTGTGGCAGGAATGCACAGTGAGGAAGGGGACATGAGGACAGTGATAAAGCCTGCAGTTGCTCTCAGAAGAAGCCCTTGAGTGGCCTCCTGGGAGCAGATGGGGTACAGGGAGGGTGACGGACGGCACACACACATGAAGCTAGCAAGGGTCCATGAGTGGCCCACACCAGCTGCTCCCATGCACATGCCAGGAGCGAGGGCCAGGGGAAGAGACAGGGTAGGTGACCCCCAGACCTTGTCTACTTCAGAGCCCCAGGGTGTCTTTGGCTCTGACATACATAGAACGTCCTGATCTCAGCTGAGTGTCTTTCCCTTTCTGGACCTCGGTCTCCTTGTCTGTAAAAGGAAGGAGCTGTACAGGTGACTTTCAGTGGCCCGACTAGCACGGTATGCCATGTTGTGTAATGCTTTGTTCTCCCTCAGCCATCGCGGGGGCCATGACGGACGGGTGGATGGATGGATGAAGGGAGGTGTCCTGAGGGAACAGAGTGAGCAAGGACATGGCAAAGTGATGACAAAGGTCACTGAAATGGAAATGTGTGAGTGTGTGCGAGTGTATTAGGGAGTATGTGTGAGTGTGGAGAATAGTGTGGAAATATGAGAGAGTATGTATATGACAGTGAGTGTGAGCATGTATCCACGAGATAGTGTGTAAATATGTGAGTACAATGATGTTAGTGTGAAAATACATGAGAGTATGAGTGCATGTGGGGGGGCAGTGTCCAGGGGATAGCAAGGAAGTGTGTATGAGTGTGACTGTGTCAGAAGGATGTGGGTGTGTGCGTATGAATATGTGGGACAGTATGGGAGTGTGCGTGTGGAACAGTGTCGAAGTATGTGAGTATGGGTAAGAGGCTAGTATGGATGTGTGAGAGCGTGTGTGAATATGCGCACATGGGATAGTGAGGAAATGTGTGACATCAATATCTGTGAACGTGATCGTCTGTTGAGAGTGTGTGTGTGCACGGGATGGTGGACAAGTGTGGGAGAGTATATGTGTATAGAATAGTTTTGAAGTGTATGATAATGTGTGTGGGAGTATTATGGAATGGTGTGAGTGTATGTGTGTGGGGCAGCATGTAGGTGTAAGTGTGGAGATAGATGAGGATATATGTATGGGAGGAGTGTGACTGTGTATGTGGGTTGGCATAGAAGTGTGTGAAAGACAGCATGGAAGCATATGACTACGTAAGTGTAGGGTGATGTGTCTGGCTGTATGTATGTAAGTTAGTGTAGAAGTGTAATTACATGCATGTGACACAGTGTGGAGGTATGTGAGTGTGGCTAGTACAGTAATATATATAAGAGTGAACACACATGCGAGTGAACATGTAGGTGTGTGGGACAGTGTTGGTGTATACGTGTGAAATATACCTGTGAGGGACAGCATGGGCGTGTGCATTTGCCTGAGTGCATTGGTGTGTGTGTGTGAGGGATAGTGTGGCACGGGCAAACGTGTGTATGCATGGTGGAACGGTGTCGGTGCATAAGTGTCAGGCGTGTGCGTGAGAGAGTGTAGAAGTGTGTTAGAGTGTGGAAGTGTGTTAGAGTGTGGAAGTGTGTTAGAGTGTGGAAGTGTGTTAGAGTGTGGAAGTAAGACTTGGGAGGAAAAGCTGATTTGCTGAAGCCGCCACCAGAGCAAGGCTGTGGGGGCAGCTGAGGGAGGGTAGCTGTGGGAGGGCAGCTGTGGGGGGGCAGCTGTGGGGGGCAGCTGTGGGGGGCAGCTG